TCCTTCTTCGCATCGTCCCATCGAGCCATGAAGTAAAGATCTGTGGAATACTGCATTAAAACAATGAACACGACGATGAGAAGTATCGAAAGTGCAAAATGTCTCCCCTCCCAAGCCGAACTGCGTCAAATTTTGTTTGGTTTCGTTTTTAGGAGAGTGGACGTGCTGGTCGTGATGGACTTCCAGCAGTTTGTATTCTGTATTTCCGCTTGTCGGATGTATTTCGGCAAAGCACAATGGTGTGCACAGAACGTACCGGTATTAGGAATCTGTACGCAATGGTCCGTTATGCAACCACGGTAAGTAAATCGGTTCAGTCAAATGTCCTCGTCGTTCTTGGTAATGGAATACGTTCTAGCCTGGTGTGTGCCGGCGTAGGCATTTGGCCGATCATTTTGAGGAACCTTGGAGCAGTGAGCTCTGTCCAAAAGCTTGTGATGTGTGCGCATGCTCTGCTGAGGTTACAAATATGGATATTTCGGCAATCGTCCGAGCTATGTTGAAAACTATTCGTGAGGTTGGTGAATGTCAATGTTAACTTCTAGTGAGTTTGATCAGTCTTCATTGGTAGCTATTGTTAAATGATCAGAAAACCTTTTCAGCAAAAAACCAATGACCGTGGTTCAAATCGCATTACTGGTGCTAAACTTGTTGAGCTTGTGACTAAACAAAAGCTCGGATCTAAGGTGAGCTGTAAGGCTCAAGTTATTCATACAGTTGTACTGCTGACAGTATTCGTTCTTGCGCATGAAGGCGACGGGGGGCATTTCGCTTTCTCGCTGCTTCAGTAGTTCCAGTTTACAAGTTTCTCTCTGGTGAAACCTGTTAACCCTTGTGAACTTGGGACAACTTTGTCGACCCACCATGGTAAATGGTATTTGTGTGGTAATCAATTCATTTCATGAGTTGACGGGGGGTCTCTAAGAACTGGCTGGTGTCATATCGCGGCATTACAATATTCCGAAGCCCTCCACTTGACGGCTCGATGTTAACTAATAAAAGCACATAATGCCTCCCCGTCACCATACTTTTCTTGTTTTACTTGGTCTTGCCCTCCAAGAACATTAATCATAGACAACCCTCTCTCAGCCATCTTGTACCGTAATAATTCAACTCTCTCTATCGTAATAAATCACCTTTCTATAAAAAAATTTACTGTTTTCTACTCCTTAGTGTACACCTTTCCAGCTAATAATTGAAGCAAGTTTATGCCATGCACTTCTGAACGGGTATCTAAAACAAGATTTTCACTTCACGCCGTATGCGATTCACAGGTAAGAGCTTTCCACTTTTTACTTTCTGTGTTTCCTGTTTTCTAAATGTTGTGCCGTGCCATGTAACTAACTGATCGTTTTAGTTATATCGTCGCTGGCCCCAAAGGTGAACGAGCACAGCAGACTCAAATTATGATGAAATGCAAGCAAAGTGACTGCGATGTGACCGTGAAAGTGGCCAAGAAAAGGAAGCTAGATGTGGTAGCAGACGAGGATTTTATAGTGCTGGAATAAATCGAATCTGTAGGATTTGCAAATGTGTATGGTGTATATGACGGTGAACTGTGAAACGGGGCTTCATTCTGGATGGAAAGTTACCCTTCATCCTTCCCGTTTGAATGCTTAGATGTTGTCTCATAGGGTGGGAACGGTTATTGTATTTTTATTCGTTTCCTCTGTAAATCCATACTAGGAAATTATTTGTGTCACCAAGAGAGAGCTTTTACTCATCTTTTCTGAACCATACTTGTTTGTTTTTTTTGCTACAATAGTTTATACTGCTGTTGTTGTCAAATTTCATGTTGTTTTGTTAAAGATCTCATTGTTACCAGGCTTACAATTTGTTTGACAAGCAAAGATTGCTTTCAATAATGTGGTCAGTATACGGTGATAAGAATAGACAGCGGTTCTTATAAGTTGTACGAGAATAAAATAGGGTTTCAATCCGTTTTTTGTTCCTTTCCGTGGTTTCAGCCACATATTTATTTTTTTTGACAGGAGCACTGGCTGGTTTGTACTTCTTCCGGTTCAAAGGCAACAGTCTCGTTCGCTGCACATGAAGGGGCGTGTCGGGCTGGATGGGTTTGGCCAAACCCGTTTTCCACCAGTTTTTGACAGCGAACAAGACTGTAACTTTCGAGCATTCACAGCAGCAGTAATGGTATAGGCAGAGTAAGATATCATGAAAGGTTAATTGTGAAAGACCGACTCTCTGGAACTGGAGCGCCATTCATTCCTTGAAGGACTTGCCTGAGGTCTCCGTCGTCTCTCACTTGAACCTACTAGGTGGGGTGGGAACTGCCCTGCTTCCCTGGTACACTTTTTTTTGAAAAAGGGCACACGCAGTGAAAGCAATCCACTTCACAAAAGGCGATTCCTCTTTGAGGCTGCTTCGTTCACCGATGATGCAGTTTTATTGGTGCAGTATTCCGTTGGCTTACCGTAGTCGCAGTTTTTTTACCAGAAGTTTCCATATCAAGTTTATGTTACAACAATTACTTCTGTGCTATATCTGTTGTTTGTCAGTGGGCTGTTTAGTAGGTGGAGGACGAGAAGGAACGACTTTGAGCCAAGAGATGCGCACAGCGGCGGCCGTATCGGTTTTTGGCATGAAATGAGCAAGTCTGGAGAAACAGTCCAGAACAGGGGCTCGGTTTTGCGTTTTCGGCCGTTCCTTGCTCTTTTTTCTTTCATCGCCAAGTCACTTACCACCCTCCCCCCTCTCTACATTTTCATTCTCGAAGGCCACTACCTAGGACGGGTAGCATTTTCATTCACGTCATATTAGTATGTGGGAAGGGGTCGGCGAAAGTATGCATTTCCTGTTCCGTTTCCGTTTCCTGTTCATCGGCCCTATCCCATCAAGAAATTGCTTCGTCCAGCAAACTAGCCTTAGCGCTAATTCTCTAAGACCGACCGTGGCCTACTCCCGTTCACTGGTACGGGTCAACTGTTTACTTGCGTTCGTGGCAGCAACACTGGATCAACTTTATCGCCTTTTTGATTTGCCTTTTGTGGGAATGCACGTGCCGCTTATACGTGTTTGCATTTATTGCATTTATTTTTTTAGACTTATTTGAACTTACATAACTGGTGTCAAATCAAGAGCAGAACCATGGCAGACGACGCTGCAGCTGCGAAACCAAAACCTGCAAATCGGCCGGACAATACGACGGCTCGACGTACTCGAATGTTGCGTAAAATTAAGGTATGATCTACTGCTTACGGCAATATGGTGCCTAGTCAAAATCCACGTTGAATTTCTACCGTAATTTGCTCGTAAAGTTAGGACTGGCTAGCGAATACTTCGCGGGGATAACATGACCCCCCCCCCCCCCCCTTACCTGAGAGCTGAGGTGTTTGGGTGCCTGCACATGCTGCAAAATTAGGATTTCGGACCAAACTTCGAAAAGTGGTGAAGTTAAGGGTAAATACGCTCAGAATAAGGATGACGCCTCCATGTTCTGTACTATATACATCGAAAATTAAATAGAGTGAAAAATAAAAATAAAATATCATGGAGTTGTCCATTTGCGCAAATAATTTATCATTTCTTCTTCAGATCGAAGACGAGTACCTTAAAAAGATGGCTGACGAAATTATGGCCGAAAAAAGACGTCTTACTTATAAACGTGAACTTATCGCCAATATTCTTTGCGACAAGGAATCGGCCGAAACAAGTGGTGCATGAATGAATGCTGGCTCGAAGCGTGACGGATGCAGTCAGGACTTTGTAGTGAGCTTTTTCTGATTACGCGGTATTGATCTGGTATTTGCAATGTTTATGTCATTTTATCTTGAGAGTTCGACCGGACTGTACGTAGTTTTTGGTTTTCTACTTTTATTCTGTTGCACGAAAATTTGAAGCTGGTAGAAAGTAATGTTCAATATCAACCGGTCTGTCTAATATAATGTAGAGACTTCGGTGGTTTTGTCTTCAAGTCATTGGTTTCTTTTAAATTCCTTGTTTTAGAAGTTTCTCGATAAGTTCTTTTCCCCCTTATTAATGCGTCAACGCCGTTCGACTTGGTGAGACATTTTGCTGGTTCTCTTAGACCATTGCCGATGCCTCCTGTGAAGACCTGTAAATTCCTGTTAAGATGTGCAGTAGCACGAGCTTGGTTCACTTTTGACGAAAGTCTGCACAAATGAGACGTGTAATTTAACAAGTATTAGCAAAAGAAAGTAACGAAGTGTGAAATGCTCCTCCCAAGCCGAATAGCACCTGAGCTTCCGTCTCTTTTGTTCTTTTTGTGTGCATTGATTTGTAGTGTCAGTTGAGACTCTGATTCATCGTTTGTTAATACTGATGACTAAATTACTCTTAAGTAACTTTATCTATCTTTTTACATTGTCTTGATTTTTATCAGCCCTACCGCGACAGTTTCGACAAATGCATTGTTCTGCAGTGCATATTGCTGTTATAATGCTTGGCACATTGTTTTGATCTCCCAGTAAAAGAAGTATTCCGTAGTTCGTTTCTGTGATATGCTCGTTTAGCGATCAAATACTGTGATCTTTCAATAATGTAATGTTTTGTCAGTTATGCTGATATTTTGACCAGCTTTCATGCTTTTCAGCTCGCTATGACTGCTTTCGAAGAGTTGGGAGTCATTCCCGAATTGGGTGATGCAGTTTCTGAACTCGGATGGGAGTAAGTGTTCAAAGATTTTAATGATAAATTCTGACTATGAAGTGTTTTTTGGTCCAGCGGAGAATCTTTAGGACTACCTACTTGTAAATTTGCATGCAAGTAGGGTAAGACACTACCCTACTTGCAAGTTTTCATTGTTTTAATTTATACTCCATATCACAGCGGTAGAGAGGGCGCGGCTTTATTCCTCACTCGCAGCCGCCGAAATGAAGTGCGCAGCCACACCCTCTCCGCCCCGGGATATGAAGCGTCAGTGGAGCGCCTAACTGGTTTCAACGACTATTTTCGCGTCAAAGTATCGCTTTGTTACGCCCAGCACACGGTTTTTTTTACGCTTTGCGTAGCCTTTTCTTTTTGCCCAAAACCCCAAACCCTGGCATGTTTAAACTCTGACGCGAAGCATGAACGTACTTTTAGGGAAGGAAGAAAAAATGGTTTCTCAGTGCAATATTATTCCGCAAAAATAAAATATCTGGTTCGATGAGTACTTCTTCGCTGTCGACCTCTTCAGTCTTTTTTCTCATTTGTCCTTTTTTTT